AGCACCCAACAAGCAAGCAACCAAGCGAGCCAGCAGGCAGGCACAAAATATCACCACATGCACCACATCCACCACTGCTGAAATACCTGCGTTGGCCGCAGTCTCAATCACGCCTCAACAGCTCCACATCACATGGGGAAGGCTGACGATGACAGAGCGAAGGCGATTGGTTGGGAAAGGAAAGGGAAATTCGGTTGGGGAACCCCGCACAACGTCCGCCTGCAGCCACGCACACACACACACGCATTTGAGTTGTGAGATTGATTCATGTGAGGCACACATCAGTGCAACCACCCCACAGCCAATGACTGCTTTGATGTGTTGGCACACGTGCATGTGTACATGCGTGCATGCGTGTGAATGAGTACTACCACTCCACCCATCACCACACACACACACACACACACACACACACACACACACAGCGGCAGCGTCTCACCTTGTGTCTTCTTTTCTCGCACATTTGTGTGTGCGTGTATCGCCCTGGTCGTGTCATGAGGGCTTGGGAAGAGAACGGCCTCCGTCCTGTGCAAATCACACACATGCACACATGCACACATGCGCAAGCACAAAGAACCAAATCAGCAAGAATGACACCACGCAGTGAGCCAGCATGGCAGAAACAAACCACATCCACCTCCTTTGTCATATTCGCATCACCCACATCATCACCTGTGCACGCACATTCCAAGCACAGATACACACCACGACGACCACAACCACCACCACCACAAGCATCACATCTGCACATGCGTGTGCGTGCGCAAGTCCACATCCACCACAAATCATTCACCATCACCACCATCGTCGTCACACGAGGCAACGGCACATCGACGCACATCACACTCTGCATGTGTGCGTGTGGAGAAAGAGGTGAGTTGTCACAGAATCAGGTTATCAACGACAACAACGCCCATTGCCACCAGCACCAACAGACCCAACGACATCCAACCAGCACCGCACAATCATTCCCCATACATGCTGTTGTTCACACCCAACACATCACACATCACCACCACAATCCCCACCACCACCACCATTCATCTCACCTCCACATCCACGGCCGCTGCCGCTGCTGTTGGTGACCAATGACGACGAAGAGCAGGTGGAGATGGATGAGAGGCAGGGGGCCAGTTCATCCACAATGCAGCCACACATCCGCTGTTGCTGTTGTTGCTTGTGGTGGAAAGGGTGAAAACAACGGCCCCTTGCCACGCCGTGTCCTTTGCTCGCTCGCTCGGCTGCTTGGTTGGTCGGTTGGATGGAAGCGGATGCATGGCCCTGTGTCCAAATCAATCGAAAAAGGGGGAAGAAGAAGAAAAGACAGCGGACAGAACAGACAAGGAAAGTGGGAGGCGAACAAGGAAACACAACGTGTCAACCAACACACACTCGCACACACATCTCAGTCGCCCTCTCACCTTCAGCACTCGTCATCGTCATCGTCGTTGGTTCCACCGCTTCATGCGCCTCCTCAACGCTGTGAAACGTGTGTGTGCACGGAAACAAGATGGGAGAGAATGCAGGGTGGTGAGGTTGACAGCGAAGCATCATCAACCACACGCCATCCCCATCCAACCATCCGCATTGACACCCATCCACGCACACATCTTGTCCCCACTCACCACCACCACACACACGCACATGCTCACCTCTTCATGAGAGCGACTGACATGTGCAATGTCTGCCTCACGCCAGATTGGAGCTGGTGTCGGCCGGCGTGTGATGGCGGCTGTGCGGTCGATGATGATGATGGTGATGGCGGTGACAGCGGAGCTGAGGTGGAAGAGAGAGAAGAGAGAGAGAGAAATGGGGAGGTTGATGATGATGATGTGTCGTTCATGGCGGCTTCCTTGCCCTCCTCTGATATGGCCCTGGCGCCCACGCAACCAACACACATCAACAAGACACATTGCACACACGAGGTACAGGTATGGCATGTGAGCACAGCAGACATATCCACTTCCTGCCCCCTCCTCTGCTTCCCCCCCCTCACCCCACGACACACACACACACACACACGCGCACACACACGCACACACACACACCTGCTGCATATGACTGCGTCGCTGTGATAGGATGTGCCCACCATGACCATGGACGTGTGTGTCCACAGCTGCTCCTCCCATTCCATCATGTGTGCACCGCCCATCATCCTTCAACGATCCTCACGCAGTCGCCCCCCCCCCTGCAGCCACATGCACACACGCATGACATGTGAGCTGCACAGCTACACTGGTGCACGAGGCACAGCAGCAGCAACACCAAGCACCCACAGCAACAACAACACCAACCCATGCACCATGTGCCAACCAAAGCATGCATGACGGGCTCACCTTGCTCGCATGTAGGAACACTGCATGAACACAGCAGTGGCAGTCGAATCGGAGGAGCTGCAACAGCAGCAGCCGGGGTGCGATGTGTGGCGACGCGTGGAGCGACGTGGTGAGCGACCTGCACCTTCACCCTCATCATCCTTCGCCTTTTGCCGTTTGCCTGCAGAAATTTCATGGATGCGGTGCAGGAATCATCCACAACCGCCACATCACAACAACAACCAACCAACACCCTTCTTGGCGCGAGCGAGACATGTCCTCGGCACACACGCGCTTGTCGTTCCGACAGTCCATTGAAGCGTTCCTGTGTGCAGGCATTGAAGACGCGGGTAGCAATGGCCATACACGCTCATCTCTGGACAGTGACAGCTGCGACGAGATTGCCCTTGCTGCACGTGCTCTGTAAGAGAACATGCGTGTGCATGTGATGTGATGTGATGTGGTGTGTGTGCATGTGATGTGATGTGATGTGGTGCGTGTGTGTGTGTGTGCATGTGTGTGTGCATGTGTGTGTGTGTGTGCGCATGTGTACGGGTGGTTCGGCGCAACCTCTGTGCCAAACTTTGCCTAACCTTAACCCTCTACCAACCCCTTCACCCCTCTTTCTAACACGCCGACGTTGCCCATTCACTCCACCAACAACGCAATCTCGTCTCGATGCGCACCCATGTTGCAGGTCGACAGTGCAGCAGCTGAGTGAAGGCAAGCTGCACATTCCTACTGCAGGCAGCATCACTGCCGCCCTTTTTGATGTCATTGAGGACGAAGACAAGAGTACACACGAGCAGCTACACGACCAAGAACAACAACAGCAGCAGAAGCAACAGAATGAAAGGGAGCAAGAACAGGAGCACGTGTCGATTCCGTCCGCTCCGCGGCATCCCGTGTCGACAAGCGCCCCCTACGCATCCACACAAGACCAACATTGGATAACAACAGCCATCACATCAACATCAGAAGCAGCAAGTACAACAAGCACATCCCCGTCGTCAGCTGAGGTCCCGTCGTTGAACCTTGCTGAGTTGTCGGGCTTCAGCGCCTCGCAACTGCAGGAAGTGAGCGGTCGACACGTGCCCGGGTCCTTTGAGGTCGGTGGCAAGTTCTATGTCATCAAAGGAACACTCACAAGCCATGAAGAGCTGTCTGCATATCGACAGTCCAAGTCGGCCATGACAGCAACGACGTCGACAATAACTTCCCCCGCCCTCGCCGCTGCCACCACCACAACGAACGGCAGCAGCACCAGCACCAGCACCAGCACCAGCGTCAAGAGCGAGGTGGATGTGTCGTTTGTCGCATCTGCCAGCCCGTCGCACAGCACAGAGACGAAAGGCCCTGTCAACAACACTGATCTCCAAGATCCACGTCTTGCCATCCTGCGTCGGGTGGGTTTTCGTACATTGCTTTTGGTGTGTCGACACGTTGTCTCCCACCTGCGCTGCTACACTGCTTCCATGACTTCACTGCTTCCACTGATTTCGTTGCCTGTTTGCATCGTGCACGCACACCCATCACTTCCGAACGTCAACTCACATGCCCTAATGGTTGCTCTGCTCATTTTGTCCACATCGCCAGGCTGGACGACCCGTTCCCGGCCGGGCGAACACCACGCGCAGCAGTGCCACCTCGACCTCCACCTCTGCGCCACCACCATCGGCGGGAACGGGGACGAAAAAGCGGCGTTCATCGTCGAAAACAGCGCCGGTTCCACGCGAACTTCGTGGGCTCCAGTTTGAGAATCCTGGGCGCCGCAGTGCATGCCCAGCCGTGGTGCGCTGATGTGTTTGTCCCTTGCTTGCCGTAGCGGTCTGATTGATGTGACGTGACGCCAATTCATTGCTCTTCCACACAAACGCACTCTCCTTGCGTGCCTCACGCACACGCACACACACACACACACTCTCTCTCTCTATCTCTCTCTCTCTCTCTGTGATACACTCGCCCACATACCCGCATTCACGCATCCACTCTCACCCGCGCACTCACTCACTCACACACGCACACTCTGTCATACACACACACGAACGCACACTCACTCACCTCGCTGTGCAGGATGACGAGTGGGTGTGCCGGTGCACGACTGTGAACCGAGGCGACATCATCTGCAGCGCGTGCAATTCCCCGCGGCCGCGCACCACCCGTCGCTCCCGCACACCGTCAACATCAGCATCATCGTCCTCATCGTCATCGGCCGCAGCAACCGAGCCCGCCGCGCGCAAGCCTGGCGCAGACGGTTCAAGCGACAGCCAGGGCAAGCCATCAACACAGCGCAGTAAGCAAGCCATGACAACCGCAACACCAACCGCTGCGCCAACAACCACCACCAGTTGCAGCAGTGCGAACGATGAGAGCGGTCCGGCACGTGGGACGAGAGCGGTGAAGACGGAACCGACGGCTTCAGCCAGCAAGGCGGCCGCCACGGCCACCAGCGCGACCACCACAACCAGCAACGCGAACAAGGGCGATGCCAAGTATGCAAACCAAGTGGCGTGCATCTCGTGTCGACGGGTGTTTACGCACCTGCAGCGGCACCTGAGCCGCTCGTCCAAGTGCCAGCTGGCGCTGCGGCGGCGCGATGCAGCCGTGGTCCGCCACCGCCAGAACGCCGGCCGCCACAACACCAACCTCACGTCGTGCGTGCTGTGCGGGGAGGCGTTTGCCAGC